GTTCAAATCTTTCCTTACTAACAGAACTCAACTAACAGAACGTGTTACTCGTCATTCAATCAAGTCTCATCCTTTTTCTGTTACTGTTCCTAAGTGCTCCAAAAACTCTTATTCGTCTAGTTTTTTTCCTCGAACATCAGTTCTTTGGAATTCACTTCCTTCATCTTGCTTTCCTGATTCATATAATTTGCAATCTTTTAAGTCATCTGTCAATCGTTATCTTGCTCTCCAATCTTCATCTTTTCTCTTCCAGTAACTTCCAACACTAATTAGTGGTTGCTTGCAGCCTTGTTGGAAGCGAAGATAATTAAAAAATAATAAAAAAAATTAGTATCCTAACTCTAAAAAATCTGATATAATATTATTTAAAAGTCGTCACAAAAATTATAAGCTCCTGATACACAAATTTTTCACAAAAAATATGTGTATCGTTCCTGATACACAATTGTTTTTTTTATTTTTACACAAAATTATAAACTATAAGCTCCTGATACACAAATTTTTCAGATTTTGGTCAAATTTTAATTCAATCATAACTTTTGAACAAATTAGTCAATCTGGCTGAAATTTTCTGGATTGTATTTTTTGCATAAGATCTGTATGTTTATTTTAATTTAAAGCAAATCTGAGGTGGTACTCTGAGAGCCTTTAGGTGATTTGATATGGGATAACCCATCGCTGTGTTTACGCTGTTGTAATTTAGCAAGCTCTTTTGCTATGGCGTTGATTGTTGGTGGCGATTCCTTCGTTTTCTTTCATTTTTTTTAAATTCAGTTTTCTTTTTTTCTCTATAATTTTTACAAACTTGTTTGTGCGATTTGGGCATTGTTTTAATATTTATATGTTTCCTGTATTTTTAAGAATTTGTCAAATAACTTAGATTTTAAATTAGTTCATAACCTTTAAATACACAGTTATATCAATTATTTAAATTACTCTATATAACACGTGTTTTAATTAATGTTTTTCAAATTAAATCTACTTCCTTGACGCAATTGAATATCTAAACGATGCATTTAAACATTGAAATGACGCATTCAAACATCAAAATGACTCATTTAAACATCGAAACATCCATTATGTTGTAGTCTTGACAAAAAAGAAATTGCGTTTTATTTTTTTCCAGACAAGGATTTCATAAGTTTTTTTTACATATATTCGTTTTAACTAAAATGCTTTTGCTAAATGTTTTCTAATTGAAAAAAATTAAGTTTAGGTTGTATTAAAAAACTAAATTTGTTATAATAGTCGCAATCGTGACGGTGAAAAAGGCCTTTTTTTTTTCTTTGTAACATACCAACTAATATTTGAGATAATATCACTTATTAACATACTTATTTAATCACAAATCTTTAATCTGATTCTTAAACATTAAAAAAAAAAATTTAACACAAGTCCATGTTAAAAAATCCATGTTTTTTTATATCATTAAATATTAAAAATGACTACAAAATTTTATTATTTATTATACCAAATTTTATTATGAATATTAGAAATAGATTTTAAAAAAAGTCTATTTCTAATATTCAGTTTCAATATTTTTGAAGTATGACAATTTTATATGGAATGATCCATATATGTTAAATATTTATGTGAGGTTTTTAACAACATTAAAAAAAAAAAAAAAGAAAAAAAAAGTAAGCCTTATTGACTGTAGTGACCCCTTGGCTTTAAAACAGTAAAAAAAAAAATCAAAAACTTCTACATAAGGGGGCATCGATAAAGTACTTACACCCTAAAACCATTGATGTAGACTCCACTTCCTCCCCCTTTGTATGCAACTGTATGCATAGATTCCACTTCTTCCTCCCCCTTTGTATAAAACTGTATGCTTTCAACAACCCCTTCTCTCTGTATTTGCACATTATTAATTGCAAAATTAACCCCCTATCAAACACATAAATTTTTCAAAACATAAACAAAAAAAACCTTTTTTATAATTAACTTTTTTAATAGGTAATTCGACTTTATAATATATTTATAATAGGTAATTCGACTTTCTAGGTTGCAATAGTATTGGTTTTTTAAAAGTACATAGTATTAGTTTTTTAAAAGGATCCCTAAGTGCCAAGACATTAGAAAAGAAGTTAAAAGTTAATTAACTAATTAACTTTTAAATAATTAAATCTATAAATAAAGAGTTTTTCTAGCAGAGCCAATAATCAAAACAACATTGTATGCTTTAAAGGATAACTTTATGTTTAGCTTCAAAATTAGCCATAATAAACTAATTTTTAAAGCTCCGTAATAGAAATAAGGGGTCAATAGATTATGTCATGCTTTAGGGATGGGGGGGATGGAGAAAAGTTAGTGGTTTTGTGACAACTCATACGGAACTTGTTACTACATATTATAGATATTTTAGTTATTTTTTTAAAGATTGTTACAATGTTGTGATCAGCAGGGAAAAGGAGGGGAAGGAGAGGGGGGGAAAATCAATCAGTGATCAGTCAGGGGGAAGGAGTCTTAAATGGTTGAAAATTTAGTGACTTAACTTGTGAATGAACCCTAAATAGACAGTTTTTTTAACGTGTTTGATTTTGATTTTTTTAAAGACATAACATAATTTTTTAAAGATATGTTATGTCTAAGAGTTTATTTTTAAAAAAATATATAGTTTTGAAGTGCAAATTTTATGTCTTTTATACTATGAAACTGTTTTTTGTGGTATTTTATTTAGTTAAATTTTTCTTGTCCTGGCTAATTTGTTGATAATTTTTGTTATCTTAAAGATTTTTAAGTGCTTGAGCCTTCCATTTTTATCTATTTTTCTTACAGAATGCTATACTACTGGTAGTTTTAAGTCTTGAATAGCATTTAACTTAAGTCTTGATTAGCATTTAACTTGATTAGCAATTAACTTTTTCTAAGACATAAAGTTAGACTTTTTTTTTGTAAAAAAATAATAAAAAAATTTGCAAAAGTTCTTTATATCCGCCTTCATTGGTATTTTTTTTTAAAAAAAAGAGACAATTTCTATTTATTTATCTTTTTGAAAATATATAGTTATAGGGTGTAAATATGATGGTTTTTATCCCTATTATATCATTTTTAGTATACTATGTATATTTTTACTTTTTACAAATATTATATATAGGTGTGAAAGAGTCAAAATATTCAAGTTAATATCCTTTGTGAATAGTTTTACAAAAAAAAAAGAATAATTATTTATAAAAGATAAAAAGAAAAATTAATTAAAAGTTTTATTATGTAAGTTCAAAAAGATAAAAATTAAATGTTTTTCTTAAAAAACTACTTTTATTAAAAAAAATAAAACAGTATTTTGTTTTCACCAACAATCAGTAAATCAAATTTATTTTTATTATTTTTACTTATTTATTATAATTTAAAATCCAATTTTTAAATTCTATTGTAGCAATTTTTAGAAAATTTTTAAATGAATTTGTTTTTTTATACTTGATATATAATACTTATATTATTTTCGTTTTAAAAATGAATCAAAAATAAGTTTTAAATTATCTTACAATTTTAAAATTTCTTTTAAAATTATATACATTTTATTAAACTACATAAGGTCAACATTCTCTTTTATTAATTATTAATTAGTTTAACATCCATTAATTATTAATTAATTAAAACATCCATTATTAATATTGGCATATATTAAATATGCCAATATTAATAATGGATGTTTGATGGATTTTAACAATTAAATTGATTTAAATTTTTTTAACTTAGATATAGATGTAAATTATATTAACAATAATATTATTTTAAATTTTGAATACTCATTTTTTTTTTTAATTATTATTTCTCACTTATAGTTGGTTAATATTTTTTTTAATACAAGTAAAAAAAGTAAAAGCCCAAAAACTAAAATATTTTAACTTTTAACAAAAGGGAAAACCTGTAAATTAAATTTTTTAATATTTACTTTTTTTTTTATTTTTTATTTAAAAATTTCCTTCGTGGAAAACAATATGACATTACAATTGAAGTTTTTTGATAAAGAAGTTTTATTAAATCTAAACTTATTTTCATAAGGTTTATTTAAGATATAAACACGACTTGTCTTCACACTTGTTGTTCACACTTAGGGATCCCTTTAATTATCCACATAGATTATATAAAAGTTTTTAGAACATAATTTCTAAGATAAAATTTGAGACTTAGTGATCTAGGAATAATGGGTTCTGCATCACCTTTTTGATTTCTTGCAATAATAAAAAAGTTTTGTTCTTAAAAAAGTTGTTCTAAAAAAGATAAAACAAATGGATGTGATTAGAAGTAGCAGCTGCACAAGAAAAATTCATGAAGTAGAGCGAGGCTTGACATGAATCAGATAAAAAAACATAAAAATTTTATCTCTGTCTCAATCCAAGAGATGATGTAGAAGGTGCAGTTATCAGTTGGTATTTGATCTGTACATCACATGTATATACCAGTCTTCTCTGTTTGAAATTTACCTCCAGCGCACAAAAAAGCGTTGGCCAGACAGTAATTATTTGTCTTTTAAAAAATTTAAAAAAAAAATTACCTCTTTAATTAGAATTTAATTTTAAAAAATGATTTGTTGCAATTTAAAAACACTCTTGAAATTTTTAGGCGAGCGCTTAAAAAAAGCGCCAGCTGTAGTATTGGCAGACGTGTAGGCGAGCGCAAAACTGCGAAAGCGCTAGTCTAACAGAGAAGACTGATATACACATACAGACATATACACATATTACATATACAGCCCTTAGAATTATAAGTGGCATTAGGCAATGCTGACCTAACAGCTGATCTGACTGTGTCTGAGGTTGACAATTTTTAGCCAATCTCAGAATTTTTTATTATATATATTTATATATATATATATTATATATATATATATATTTTTATATATATATATATATATATATTTATATATATAAATTTGAAAATTATATATATATATATATATATATATATATATATATATATATATATATATATATATATATATATATATATATATATATATATATATATATACATATGAAATTTATTAATGTTTATAGATTTCAACAGCAGCCATAAGAAATATTTTTTATGGAGAAGGCAGAAGTAGTTTTGCTTTGACATATAATCTCATTATGTGTGAAATAACGGAAATAAAAGGTGGAAAAAAAAGTAAGTTTTTTTTTTACTTGTAATTTTCCAAAAAAAAAATTGTTTGTTTTTGTATTCTATTTTTATTTATTCGATTTATTTAAAAATTATATATTTAATTGATTTATTTTGAATAATTTACAAGCCTTTTTATGAGATTTGGTTGTATAACAGTACACAAGTAAATGTAACTTTACTTTTAAATTATATCAGTTGTGTGTTTTAAAATGCCACATTGTTATTCAAAATTAATTTGAAACCATGTTAAAAATCATTTAAAGTCTTTATCTTTATAAATTATTTATGAAGTATCTTTAATTTAAACAATACTGTTATAAAATAATGATAACAATTTAAATGTTGTTTGACAAAAAAAATATTTCCTTAGGTAAAAAAACTTGTACCAATTATTTCTTAAATCATTCAATATTAAAATCTTATGTTTGCTTTCTCACAAATTAGTTGTTTGTTTTTTTTAAAGAAAGTTTTTCAAGAAGTTTTTTCACAAATTGCTTATAAGTGAATTTCATAAAGGTCAATAAAAAAACCATTAAAAAAAAAAAAAACTATTAAAGAAATCCCAAACTCCCACCACATCTTGTGTTTATTTTAAAGGTATTGTTAAAAAAAAAGGTTTGAACCAAGTTTTTTTGAATAAAAATAAATAATCAGGGTGTAAACTAGCTCTGTGGCGCCCCGTCAAACTCGGTTTTCCCAAATGCTCATTAAATTAAAATTCCTAATTTAAAGGAAAAAATCCCATTCTCTAAAAAAAGTTTCTAAATTAAAGTTTAATAATAATTCTAAAAATAATTTGAAATTAATTATTATTTAAAACTAATGGAAAAATAACATTAAAAAATACTAATTTATTAATTGCGTAAAACATGAAATCAAATCGTCATTATTGGTATAAATACAATTGTATTTATACCAATAATGGCGAAAATTTCGCAGTTATGCAATTATACAATTGCATAACTGCAAAAATTTTTTGGCTAAAAAGTTAAATAACTTATTAAGTCTTAACGTAAACTCAACTTTAAGTAGTACATGATTTTCTTCAACAAAAACATCAAGAATGTCAGATACCTTTTGATCAATTACGGTTATTACAGAAAGTCTTTTAGTTTTTGTTTTTCTTTTGTTTATTTGATATTTTATATCAACAGAATTTGCTAAAGTTTTTTACTTTTTAACTGGTATTCTTCGATGCCACACGTGCAATCTCTTGCTAATAATATTACCCTATAATTAAACAATATTTGTTGCTGTATTTGCTGAGACTTTGTGATTATAACTTTATTTCGCTTTGTGATTTATGTATAAAATAAATTATTATTAATTATAAAATTGATCTTGCAATAAATGTGAAATATGAAATTTATGAGCTTGTGTTTACTATTTTTAAAACCTTATCTATTTTCAAAAAATTTCTTTTGATGACACAATTTATTATATGATGAAGTTAGGATTCGTTCATAAGGTACATCGAGCAGAATTTAAATAATAATTAGAAGTAGAAGATCATTGGCTCATTGGAGATCGCTATTTTACTATATTAGATTGAAAATGAAATATATATTTAAAATAATACTCTTGAAATGAAAGCGGCGACAATATAAAACGATTAAAAATAAGTCAAATTAATTACTCTCAATAATAATTATAATACACTGATTTGTTTATAATAAAAAAAGATATCATTCCTGATATATATTAGGAATGATATCTTTTTTTTTTATAAACTATATATATATATATATGTTCGGAAATCAGTTCTTAGTTTGCCGTGTCGTAAAACAACAGCTAATTTTGTGTTGATTTCATATTCATCTTTAATGATACAGATGGTATTTTATTTTTGGTGCTGATCAATAAATGTATGCAGCGCTGAAGTAGAGTAGAAAAAAAAAGAACACCAAAAAAGGACCCCATGCTTTCCCAGAACATATTTTAGTCTCAGGGGAGGAGGGGGGTGATTAAGAAATACTTCAACAAATTCCCAATTTGGTTACAACACTGTATCAAATTTATTCCTGGTTAAAGGGATCCCAAACTCCTAACACATGTTGTGTTCATATTAAAGATAATGTTAAAAAAAAAGGTTTGAACCAAATTTTTTTGATTAAAAATAAATAATGAATGCATACCGTGAAAAATAAATGTTGTTGTTTTTGCCGAAGCTCGTCTTCTCCATTTTTTTCAACTACTCGGAGTCTTCAAATTATGCGTCGCAATCTACAGACTTTGGCAATTCCTTTGAAGCGCGTTTAATTCATAAAAGTTTTAGTATTTAACGTCACGATAGATTTTTAACAAAAGAAAAGTGTAATTAAACTAAGCTGCGTTTTTCTACTGAAGTATTTTTTTAACATATCCCAAAAAAAATTTTGTAAAAAGTAAAAACAATAAATTATTTTTATTTTATAGGAGCAACTTATTTTTTACAGATATCTTAATAATTTTAAGATTTATATATCTTACTTATATTTCTTTAATTATTTAAATTAAAACAAATATTAAAGCTTTACTTACCAATCTCATGATTTTCATACAAGTATTTTACATTATATAGAATGTTTTATATACGGTCTCTTGTTTTAGCGCAAGAGAGCGCAGTATTATATATTCTGATTCTTAATTATTTTTATTTAAACAATGGGAACTATTTTCTAACTTCTCTGGTTATTTTTACGCTATGACAATTTTTTGTTTTCCCGTTGAAAAAAAGTATTTATTAACAATTACTTTCATAAACTAACTGTATTAATTAGAGATATTTAATGAATTGTTAACTTTTTTTATTATAAAATTTTTTTGATCACGCTGATTTAATTTAAATTGCTAAATTTGCTGAATTGGATACAGATAAAAAGGAAATACCATTTTATTTTACATTTGATTTTTGATAATGAAATTTTTAAAATGTCAGCAACTCCATACCAATTAGAACCTGTTAAGATTATGAAAAAAAATACAAGAATACACTAAACAATAGTTTAGTGTATTTTTGTACTTTTTTTTTAACACTTGACAGTAGTATCAGATATGAAAATTCGTGAAAGGATATGTGAGATCCTGATTTTGCATTAAAAGTACAATTAATTGCAACACAAGTCAGCGTTATAAATCTTGATTATAAGTTTACTGTTCAATATTTTATAACCATCAAATAAAAAACATGAAGTTTGTATATTTTTGTTTTATCCAACTAATATTTAACCAAAATACGGACAAATTATTAAATAACGCAATAATTAACACCCTAATTAAAGGCAATAATTCAAGATAGATGGTAATTTAAATTGTTAAAATGTCATAACGCGCATTAAAAAACATATTATATTTGGTATTTCCAAATTTGTGTCGTAATTGGCATTTGTCTCTTAACATGAAAAATTAAAAATTTTTAAAAACACAATTAACAAATACAAATTTTCAAACAATTTTCTCTTCCAATTCTCATTTATTCAAAGAAAATTAAGCTATTAAACTTTTATTTCTCCCATCTAAAAAAAGAACGAGTGACGCAAAAAATATATATATATTCTTTACAACTCTTATTCGTTCAAAGTTTAATTGCGCGAAACTTTTCTTTCTCTTTTGTTCTACTCTTTTATAAAAAGAGCGCCCGATGAAATAAAAACTTTTATTTTTTAATATATAATTATAGTTTGAGATAAAATTAAATTAGAAATAAATCAACAATGAGCAAAGCAACGAACAAATTAATCTGGAACTAAATTGTTTTACATTAATTACCCTTATAAAATTAGTAACAGCATTTTTATTTGGTTAGACAATATTTCGTCTCAATTTGCTTTGCATGAAGTTCGGGAAGTCAAGCGAAAAAAATTAGTTTGAATAATCGCTTTGAAATATATTTAAAACAAATTATTTCAATGATGGGGGTTTAAAAGTTTTTTATAACAAATGTAGGTAAAAAATAAATAATTAAATAAAAAGTTCAACATTAAACATCATTTTTTTATTGTATTGCAACTGTAAATATTGAAATATTAACTTGAACTAAATTTACTTATTATTTAGAACGACTAAGCAATAAAAATAAAAAGCCCTTAAAATTATGCGATATTGTGTTGTTTACTTGATAATTGTTGTTGGTAATTGTTGTTGGTAATTGTTGTTGGTAATGTTTATGTTGATTATTTTCATTAATATCAAAAAATAGAACCCAGATTAATCTGTTAGTTGTTTTGTTCATTGTTGCTTTATTTCTAATTTGATTTTATCTCAAAGTATAAATTTATGTTAAGAAAGAAAAGTTATTATTTCATTGCTTGCTTTTTTTATAAAAGAGTAGAACAAAAGAGAAAAAAAAGTTTTGTGTAATTAAACTTTGAATGAATAAGAGTTGTATAGAATATTTATATTTTTTACATCACTCGTTCTTTTTTTAGATGAGAGAAATAAAAGTTTAATAGTAACTTTTCTTTGAATAATAAGAATTGGAAGAGAAAATTGCTTGAAATTTTGTATTTGTTAATTGTGTTTTTAAAAATTTTTAATTTTTCATGTTAAGAGACAAATACCAAATACGACAATATTAAATATAAAATACCAAATATAATATGTTTTTTAACGCGCGTTATGATTTTTTGACAATTTAAATTACCATCTATCTTGAATTATTGCCATTAATTAATGTGTTAATTATTGCGTTATTAATAATAATTTGTCCGTATTTTTGTTAAAAATTAGTTGTATAAAACGGGCGAAAATATACAAACTTCATGTTTTTTATTTGATGGTTATAAAATATTGAACAGTAAACTTATAATCAAAATTTATAATGTCGACTTGTGTTGCTATTAATTGTACTTTTAATGCAAAACCAGGATCTCACATATCCTTTCACGAACTTTCGTATCTCATACTACTGTCAACTGTATTGTTTATTACATTCTTGTTATATTCTATCCATACAATATTTGCAATTCATGTAGAGCTTAACAAGCAAATTCTTATATGTGAAAGTTATGTGGATGTCATTGTCTGTCAAAAAATAATCAAATGTGGATGTGACTTTTTCAAAGCAGTTAACTTGAGACACATATTTTTATGCATAGAGCAAACAAAAATGTTATGTGGTACTTTGTAATGTTCATAATGTTGAAAAAACATAGCATGGTCTTTTAAAAAATTAAAAAAAATTATTATGCCATTAATAATACTTGGATTTAAAAAAAACAACAGCTTTTTCTCCAAAACAAATTGATGATAATTAACAAAATCTGTTTAAAGATGCTCTGCTTATATCATCACTTAGAATAAATAAAAATTAGTAAGATAATCTAAATTTTGTGCTAATTTGGTAACTACTTTGTTTACAAGTGTTACTTAAATTAAAAATTATTAAAAAAATAAAAATTTGAATGGCGTTTGATTATCAGCTATTATTGTTTTCGAAATAAAAGTCATTATTATGTATTGAAGATCCTGCTCTTCGATAAAAAAGTACAATATTTTTAAAATACTTGGAAGTTTAATTTACAAATTAGGAAGAAATAAAAATTGTTTGATTTTGTTATTTAAAGTTGAGTTTTATCAATAACATTATTTTCAAAGTTGTTGCTGATGTATAAATATAATACATATGCTGATGTATAAATATAATAATATCATATTTTAATATGATGTCTAAAGTTTAAAATTTGGAGTCAATTTTTATTTGATAGAGTTACAAGGTTTTGTTTTTAACAGTCCAAAGTTACATTTTAAGTATAAATCAAAACTTTTTAAGTAAAAATCAAGTGTTCTTTTATTCATTTTTTTTACCAGTATGTCATGATGTAAAATTTATGTTACCAACGTGTCATGGCATAAGATATATCATTACCGTTGGTAATGATATATCTTATGTCATGGCATAACATATAACATATATCATCCTTACTGATATATCATGGCATATTTCCCTACCAATGATTATTGATGTAACATTATCCTTACCAACGTAATATATATTTTGCACTATTTGTTTTAAAAATTTGTACTAAATATTCTCTTTTGGTTGAAAAGTATTTTTCTCATGTAAAAGTATACAATTATTAAATATAGTTTATTGATTTTTAAAAATGAGAGTTTAGTCTAGTTTTAATTTTAAGACCTATCAAGAGTATATTTTAATAATCTAAACATAAACTGTCAAAATAAGATGCACCTTATATCTCTTGCTGTTAGCTAAACAAGGGTTAGGTAAATCAACAATTAACTCTTTAAGAAGAGCTTTAAAACAATAGTGTGATTAAAAATTAACTCAAGTTAACTTTTAAATACAGATATGGTGTATATTTAAACTAGAGCAAAATAGTTTGACATTGGTTTACTTTTTTTTGTTTGTTTATGTCATTAATCTAAAACTATTTAGGCGTGTCTGATTCAATGCTTCGTTCCTTTTTAAAGAATAAACGCAAAAGTATATCTATGCCATTTGTACATCCTCAACTGGAAAAGGAAATACCAGCCAATTTAGTTAAGCATCCATCAGAGGTAAAATTGTTATAGTATGTCTGTGATTATGTTAGTAGAGCTAGGTACGTAGGTGGGTGTAAGTGGGCTTAGGTGGGTGTAAGTGCAGTACTTATAGATGTATATATATAAATATATTCTATGTAAATATTTATTTTTTTAACTATCTGTGCACAATATTGTTGCATGCAGTAAGATATTTTTGCCTGCAGTAAGATATTTATATTTTTTATTGCTTAGCTTGGCTTATTCCAAATAGCCAAGCCAAGCAATAAAAAAGGACTCAAATTTGTGTTATAAAAAGATCAATAATAATATAATATATTATTAGATCTGGGGTCAAAATAGGTGTCTGACATTGCTACCTCTCAGACCATTCTTGAGACCTGCTAGAGCAGGGCAACAAATCATTGTTCATTTTTTTAGTAAAAATGAACAATAATTGATTGCTCTCCTCAAACAGGTCTCAAAAACAGTCTGGGGCATCAATTTACGATAATTGTATCTCAATAATAATATAACATTATTTAGAAAATTGATTAATTTAAACAAATACATCTTAACGTAATGAATAATGATTATTGCTATAACAAGATCATTTGTCAATTAGAAGAAATAATTTGACTGGTTGTCTGTATCAAGGTGCACTAGTAAACAAATTTTCTATGCTTGCATGTGGCAACTATTTTACATTTTTTGTTAAGTAGAATTTTATGTTCTTTTATTAAAACTCTTTCAAAACAAAACCATATTAAAATTTTTCATCAAAATCATTCAATTCTAAGTAGCCAAATAATAAAAAAAAGAGTTTTAAAAAATTATAAAATTTATTTAGTTTTGTTAGTGCATTTGATTTTTTTTTTTTGCAAAAGTTTAACTCAATTGTTGCTCACTTTGAATATAAACAAAAAATTATTTTAAAAAAACTCACATTTTGAATTAAGAAGCAATTACAGTATTTAACTTACCCACAAAAAAAACTAGACAATAGGAACCCTGATTAAGATACTTTAATTTTATGTTGAAGTATCAAGACATAATAGAATTGATAAAAATATTTTTATTTATTGTTTATTGTTTTGTGATTTTATCAATTGTTCAATATCAATTCTTTATTATAAAATACTTATATATAAAATATTTAAAACTTAGTAACTATGGTTATGGTTATTCTTTTTTTCTAAAATTAATTATTTAAAAATGATTTTCATAATTTATACCAAACTATGGTAATTATGTGAACATTGCAATCTTTCCATGAGAGTTACTTGTGCATATCGGCAACACTAATATCAGGATGTTTTATCAAATAACATGAATTTTTTTTTTTTTTTTTTTTTTTTTGGTAATGAAAATACCAAAAATTCTTGATCAAATGGTTTTTTAACTTATTAGAAAAATGTAATTTTTTCCATTATTTTCAGAAAATATACAATAATACAAATAATTTTAAAACGAAAATAATTTTTTTTTTTTTTTTTGATTTTGACTTATATTTAAAACAAATTATTTCAATGATGGGGGTTTAAAAGTTTTTTATAACAAATGTAGGTAAAAAATAAATAATTAAATAAAAAGTTCAACATTAAACATCATTTTTTTATTATATTGCAACTGTAAATAAATAAAGTTGCTAAATGGTCACACATGAGCATTGAGTGCCCTAAAGCAAAATGAAATGCATCAAAATTATATTCAATCAATCAGAAAATGGTCAAATCATCTCTTACACATGTATGTTTTAAACTGTGAAAATTGCCAGTAGACAAACAAGATTTCCACATTAGGAGCTTTACGGAAGAGAAAGTATTAGTATTGATTTGACACAATACAGTTTTTATACAGCACTATATATTAACTTTCCTAAAAAAAAAACATTTTTTTATCGAACCTTGATGCTTCCTTAATTTTCAAAGAAATTTAGAGAATGTTCAAAGTAATGTTTTCAAACACAAAATAATATTACACTTATTTTAACTTTTTTACATGACACTCTTCGAAGGGTGCAGGTAGGTATTGGGTATTCTGGTAATAGAACAGCACAAGCAGAAATAAAAAACCTAGTGTAAAAAATTTAAAGGATCTAGAGGATAAGGTGTAACAAACACATCTGGCCTTATACTTTAAATTTATGCAAAACATTCATATTTTCTTGAGTATCTGTTCAACATGCACTTTATCCAAGGCAGCTGTTAGTTCCTATAAAACAAGAAAAAATAGGTCATATTATAAAGTTTATATTCATGATGATGTTTACAGGTGACACACAACTAAAGATGATATTGAAAATGACTAATAAGCAAAATATAAGAAAATAAAAGTTTGTGTATTACAATACTAATATTTAAATATTCACATTAAACATTAGATGTGAATATTATACAATGAATAGAATTATTGCTTAGTTATTAGAGACACAATCATTTGACTTTGTTGCCATTTCATGCTAAAACAAGCTCAGTTAAATACTTAAAAAAGATAAAATGATTTAAAAGATGATTTAAGATTTAAAATAATTTTTTTTAGTTAAAATGAAATTAAGGTTTTTTTAGTTCCAGTTGCATTGATATTGAAAATGATAAATTAAATTGAAATTAAAAGTTTTTAAAATTTTTTTATTTATTGCATGTCGTGTTTTTAATTCTATTTTAATAATTCAATATTCGTTATTTTCTTTTTTGATTTAGAGTACTATCGATGTTCCTGTATGCAATCAAAACTATGAGGTGAATTTTAGCATTCATTTATTCATTTTAATTTTTGTTTGATTTCTTAATAAGGTTTTAAGCCACAAATTATATAAAAAACATCAAAGTAACTAAGTAACAACAAACAACAAATAACATTGAACTGCAACAAGTAACATATTGAACCAGCAACAAGCAACATATTAAACCAGCAAGTAGTTTTACATCATGATAACAAATTTCTTTTTGACAAAACTTTTTAAATTTTTTTTAAAAGTCTTTTTTGTCATTTTATCATGATTTTCATCTTGTTACTGTGTTCTTATAAGGTTTGGCATGATTTTCAATAAATACTGTAAAATTAGAACATGAAAAAGAGATATATATCACATACTATGTTTCTATTTACACACATGTCTAGAAAAAAATAACTAATTTTAATTTTAAAAAATGTATTTTTTTGAAAATTAAGTTATTGGTTTTATCAGGAATTTTCTTTATACCTTTTTATTCTCTTATGCTTATATTTATAATGTTTCAAAATGATATTATGTCATATCATTTTGCTTTGTTTTAAGAATGCCTTTGATCTATTTTTGTTTTGATCTGTCCTCTTTTTCTTTTATTTATATGGGTTTTTTCCATATGCAGTTTTGGATAGCCTTGTGTATTCTGTTCAGTTTCATTATTTTAATTTGCATTTTTTGTTAAGAAACTATTCTTAAGTTCTTTAGTCAGGGTAACCTGGGGCAAAGCAAGACATTTAGGTTTTCTAGCTTTGTACAGAATTTTTTTTTAAATGATACAGTAATTCTGTTTTATTATTTTAAAAATTTTGTGTTTTTTGTTGTTGTTGTTGTTGTTTTTGTTTTGTTTTAAAGTAGTTTCCATCAGTTTTTTTCTATAATATGACATAGAAAAGTGGGTTTAAAGCTTATGAGTTGCGTCAATTTGATTAAAAAATCAAAATTATTTTTTTTTTCTTTTTTGGAAAAATTCACTGCTATTTTTTTACCACAGAACTAACATAATATTGAGTTTTTAATCATTTATTTGTTTTGTAAGATATTTAAGAAATATATAACTTCACATTTACGGGAAAAGTGCAACAAAGCTAGTTACTGAAAAAGATCGTCTAAATAAACATCATTTAGTGACCAAAAATTTTTAAATTAGAAATTCTAAGAGAAAAACTAATCATTCTAACTGGAACAAAGATGACATCAAAAATGCTATTACAGCAGTAATGTTGAAGCAGATGTCTTTAAGAAAAGCTTGTAAAAACTTAATTGTGCCAAAAGATTCATTACAGCGGCATGTTAAAAAGGATTCACTTGAAAGTAGTTTACATACTAATTTACTTGGAAGATTTAGAAAAATGCTTTCTGAAAACCAAGAGCAAGATCTAAATAAGTATATTATATATGATATGGACAATTCATTTTATGGTCTCTCAATGATGGATATTAGATTAATAGTATTTGAGTTCTGCAAAAAAAATTTAATTCCAAAACCTTTTAACAAAGATAGTAAATTAGCAGAAGACTTTGTGCAAGGCTTTTTAAAATGCCATCCTGATTTATCACTATAAAAACCAGAAGCTTCAGAAAAAAAGAAATTTCTATAAACAGAGTATTTGATTTGAATGAAGATAATATTAAAATCTATTTTAGTAATCTCATATTCAGGAAAACGGTGTGTTTTATCAGTTTTACAAATGGGGAAAAAAGAGTCACAACAACAATTTTATTTGCATGTAATTCTGTTAGTCATTATGTACCACCTATGATGATATTTAAGCGCAAAAAAAAATAATTTATTACTCACAGATAATGCTCCAGTTGGAACTATTCAAGGATTCTGAGAAAATGACTGGGTTAATACTGATTTATTTCTTGAATATGTACAACATATTTATAAACGTGTACGATGCACCTTGATCAACTAAGTTTTACTTATATTTAACGGTCATTGTTTTCATACCAAAAGCTTAAAACTTATAGACTATGCTTGTGACAATGGATTGTTTTTGCTATCGCTACCACCATACACAACTCATAAACTTCAACCATTGGACTTTTTAAAGCTTTTGAAAACCTTTTTTAATCATCACATCAATCTTATACATGCTATAAGATTGATACGAAACCATTCAGGAAGACGAATACAAACAGAACATCTTGGAGAAATTTTTAATGAAGCATATTTAAGAGCTGCTAATATGGAAAATATCTTTAGTCTGCTTTAATTTTAATGGAAATTATATTTTTACTTAGTTTTTTTCTTCAAATGAAATCTGTCTCACTTTGCCCAAGGTTTTGGGGAAAATGAGACAGGGTAGTTGTTGCCATTTTGAATTTAATTATGTACCAATTCAACAACCTATCACCACAAATGTGCTAGTGGCCTACAAAATTATTTGTGAAACGTGATTCTTCTCAAGTTATGAACATTCTCCCTGAAACTGTCTTGCTTTGCCCCAGGTTACCCTAATAAATGGAGTTAGACAAAATAAATTTATCTTTTGTATTGTAAATTTATTTTAACATTTGAAGATCTTATAATTGATATTACACTATTTTGAGTTTAAACAAGGTTTGAATTTAATAAAATGAAGACCTGTTATTATATCAATGACTTTTTCCTGAAACCATTTTCTGTTTACATTTGGAATACTTTATGAACATTTTTTTAAGATGAACTTTATTTTATTGTCTTATAATAAGAATCTCATTTTTGCTGTTATAAAAATTATTTGAATATATTAAAATAATTTATATATATTAAAATAATTTATATATATCTTATATATATTTGTCAATTCTGATTGATTGCTTGTTTATTTGTCCCCAGTAAACAGCCAGACCGTTGGTCCTAGAAACTTGAAATCTAGCATGGATGATCCCCATGACCCATAGAGTGACATAGGCTATGTTAAGTTGACCTCAGAGGTCACTGGAGGCCGCCCAGGTTTCGTGGGGGTTTTCAAATATTCATTTCTGGGTCGGGGAAGGGTTGGATAGAGTGTTTCTTGTGAAGTGCAGAGTTGTTCCTCGCCCCAGGGGGTGGGGGTGAGGATGACCTTGGATGTGACCTCGGGGGTTGCTAAATGGGAATGGTCTGGGGGACAGGTTGAGCGTTACCTATGATGTGATTTTTGTCAGTTTCTGTTGTGTTCCATGGTTTGCTGTTACCTATTGTGTCATTTTCCAGAATTTTCCAGAATGTTCCACATTTTTCCAGAATGATCCAGAATTTTCCTGAATGTTCCATAGTGCACAATATGGCTGTTCCATCACCTTCCAGAACATTCAAGAACTTTCCGGAATGTTCCATGGTGCTCTTTAGCTCCATCTAGAACCTTCCATAGAGATATAAATGGATCACCAGAAATCACATATAACTCAGTTTTTACCAAGTTACTGAGGTGAACACATTTACAAAGTTACAATTCTAAAAGTCAGTTGAGGAAGTCTTTGCTCTTTACATATTGCTACAAAGAACAGGTAAAGAAATATTATTTTTTAATCTTTTTTTTTTTTTTTTTATTTGCATTCACTCCCAATAAGGCTGCAAGCAACCACTATTAAGTTGGGAGTTACTAGGAAAAAAAAAAGAACAGAGTTATAGAGCAAGGAAACGGTTGACAGAACACTTGAAAAGTTGAAGGTTGTATGAGTCAGGAAAACATGAAGATGGGAGAGAGTTCCAAAGGATTGAAGTGCGGGGAAAAAAACTAGATGAATAAAAGTTTTTAGAGCATGCAGGGACAGATACAGTAAACGAATGAGACTTAGCAATCAATTGTATATATGGTTTCCATGAAAGGTCAGTAGTAAGCGATAATCCAAGAAGACGTAAAGAGGAGGACTCAGTAAGAGGATTGCCATTCATTAATATAGGAAAGTTTTAGATATGTCAAGAGCAATAGCCCTAGCCTCACCGCCTCCATCTAATGCACGATAAAAACTTTCAGTTACAGCAGTTAGCAAGTCGGCCGTAAAGCGAGAGGATCGAAAACCATATTGATTGTCTGACAGTAGTTTATTTGACTCAAGATGAGATGTGAGGAATTTGTTGATCAAAGACTTAAAGACCTTGCTAATAACAGAAAGAAGACTGATCGGACGATAATTGGAGGGGTCAGAATTTTCTCCAGAGTTTTTGAATATTGGAACCACAGATGCCATTTTCCAACAAGCAGGAAAACAAGACTCAGTCAAACACTTGTTAAATAGTTTAGAGAGAATTGAAGAAAGTTCTGGAGAATAATTCTGCAAGACTGTGACAGGAATGTTGTCTGGACCACAAGCTGTAGACGAGTTTAATTGAGATATGACTTTAACAGAAGCTGGAGTGATTTGAACGTCTAACAATGGGTCAACCTGTTTGACTGGAATAGAAAGAAGAGAATGTCTATAAGATTCAAGAGTGGAATTAGAAAAAAAGTTCTTTGCAAATAGTTCTGCCTTATCCTTGGGAGAGGTAATAAGATCAGTCCCATGAATGAGAGATGGAATGTTAGATCTACCCTTGTTGATAATGCTGTTGAAGATTTTCCAAAAGTCTTTAGAGCCTAACTTCTGCGATAAGATGCGAGATTTAGTGAACTGAGAATAATGGAATTTAGCATCAGAAAGCACCTTTTTACATTGATTTCTTGCAATAATAAATAGCCGTTTGTTCTCAAGAGAGTTGTTCTTTTGAAAAAGATGAAAAAAATGATTACGATTGGATATAGCAGCCGCACAAGAAGGAGAAAACTATGGAGTAGAATGAGGCTTGACTTGAAACCGACGAGAAGGAATAAAAGCTTCCATTCCAGCCTGAATCCAGGAGGTTACGTAGGAGGCGCATTTGTCAGCTGAGAGAGAAAAAACATCAGCCCAAGGACCATCACGAAGAAAATCACGAAAGGAAACAACAACAATATTGGCAGAGGGGTAAAGAGAGAGGGCGTGGTCAATTTGATCAGAGATAACATCTAAAAGAGTGCAATCATGGGAAGATGGAGAACGATTAAGAACAAAGAGAAAGGT